CTTAGGGTAGCCCAACCCTTGTGCAATGGGAAAGGAATGATTTTGCCACCCGAGGCCCACTTCCTAGTCCCATGGACTGTATTTGGAATTCTCTTTGGTATTGAGGCAGAGTCCTTCTGTAGCCCAGGCTGGCTGGAATTCCCAATCCTGCTGAGTGCTGGAATTACAGACAGTGCCCACCACACTTGCATGTAACTAATCCAGGTTTTCATGTTTTGTTTTGTGGGTTTTTTTGTTTTGTTGTTTTGTTTTTTGTTTTTTTGTGGTGCTAAGGATTGAATCCAGGGTCTTATACCAGGCAAGTAAGTATTGTACCCCTGAGCTCCACCTCCGGCTCTTAGTCGTGGGATTGTTGAGTAGCCATCATGTAGCCAGGACTGAGATGACTGAACCAGGGGTAGAGACCCCACCCCACCTACAGCAAACCCAAGTCCTCAGCACCTAAGACGGTGACACAGGTTACCAGTGGGGAAGCAGTTGCCTTCCTCAGGAGCAGGGAGAGATTACCAGGGCTGGCTTTTGGAACTATCTAGATGGATACATGAGAAGAAGGCCATTCTGGCTAAGGGCCATGCACAGGTTCATGGGGGCTGGCAGGTGAGGTGCCAAGCAGCCAGAGGGATTTGAGGGGAGAACAGGATGGGGCCAGTGTGTGGGAAGCCTTAATGGCAGGTCGAGGTGTCTGACTTCTTCCAAGAACAGTGCTAGCTGAGAGGGTCCCATGCTGTGGGAGGAGTCACAGCTGAGAGGGCTGCTGGGGTGTGGAGAGCGGGGAGGATGAACAGAGTAATGAGGAGTCCGGGGAGGAGAGGACGGGGGCAGTAACTGGTCCCATGGAGTGAGGGGGGAGGACATGAGGTCAGTCCCGTGGAGGCACCCCTGTTCTGGGACCTGGCTGTGACCTGAGACCATGGGCTCTGGGGAGGCCTCCTCTCTGCTCTTCCTGCTGGGCCTATTTCCTGAGTTATGAAAGCCCATGGCCTCCTTGACTTGGTTCTGTTGGGAATTCTCCATACCTGCCCTGCTCTTCCCGACTGCAGGGCCAGCTTCCTCTCCCCTGCTAGTCACATCACCTCTCAATCCATCCTGTCCCGTGACCAGACCTACGTCTGCTCTTCTCTCCTTCATTCATCCCTCCCAGATCTACACACCAGGTGGGGTGGCAGCCCCAGGAGGGCATCACTTGGCTGCCATCTGCATCTAGTCTTGCCAGCAGATGGGCAGGCAGCGAGTGCCAGTCTGAGGTCAGGCAGGTGTGGGTAGAGGGCTACAGGAAGTAGGCTCAGGGCTCCTCAGGGGTTCGCTCCCAGGTATCTGCTGAAGAGGTCAGGTGACCCACCAGGACCTTCAGCTCATGTTTTGTGTGCCTGTTCACACTTGGCCATGGCAGTCTGTCTGATCAAGGTCTCTCTTCTCCGTCCCCAGCCCCAGCTTTCCCTCTGTCCAATGGACATGACCCTGTGGCCTGTAAGAGAGAACCAGCCCAGGGCAGAGGGAGACCGGGGAGCTGAGGCCTTTCAGGCCTCTGTACCGTAAGGAGGTGGACGCGTCAGTCTCTGCTCCTGTTCTCACCACACCTGGAGCCACCCAGCGGGAATGCCAACAGTGCCCCGAGGCTAGCCTCTCTCAGTGCCTTGGGCTGGCTGGAAACAGGTTTCTGTTTGCTCTGGAAAAGGCGACCTGCCTGCGGTGGCTCAGCCCTGCCTCCCTTACCGCAAGGCTTCTGGCTTCTGGCAAGGATAGGGACCCAGGCCAGTTCCCCATGTTTTCAGAAATGAAGGAAAAACAGTGGTTAGGGCTCTGTACCACCCTTGTTGTGCAAGGGGAGACGAGTGGCCTTGAGGGCAGGCTCGGACCAGACCAGGATTCAGGACGAGGGTAGGTGACTAGATGGGCCTAGCACAGGGCTCTGCCTTCTCACTTTTCTGTCTTTGTAAGTGTTTGTGCTGTTCCTGCTCTCTTTACCTGTCTCCATGTCTGCCTTCTTTCCTTCTCTTCGTTTCTCCTTGGCATAGTCCATTAGGAAGAAATGAATTGCAGCATCCAGCAGGCTACATCAAATCTTCCCACCACTTACCCCTCACCAGCTGTGTGACCTTGAGTAAGCCATGTACCCTCTTTGAGCCTTGATTTCTGTATCCAGAAAACACTTCCTGGGGCCACACAGGGGCAAAGTGAGCAAATGGAACTACAAGGCTAATGCCGTATGTTGTCATCTTGGACAGGACAGTCTTTCTCAGAAGTGGGTGAGCCGAGACTGGAAGCTTGGCTCTTTGTCTCTGTCCCCTGCTCTCTTCCTCAGAGACAGGACTGGAGGGGCAGGAGCATAGAGACTCGGAGCCCCCAGCAATGGGGGAGGCCTGCCTGCGCACACACACACACACACACACACACACACACACACATGCACGCGCACACGCACACATACACACACACACACACACACACACACACACACACACACACACACACACACGGAATGCTGTGAGCATCGCTGCTGTCCCCTGGGCCCGCAAAGCCTGGGGCTGAGGCAGTGGCCTTCCTTTGGGGCCCGTGGCCCTGGCCTATTTGCATGGGGTTTATAAATAGTGGGCACACCTTGCCCCTGTGCTTCTGTCCTTCCCCCTCTTCCCACCACTGCTCCACACAGCAAGGTTGTGGGGCACACTGATTTGTTGTGCAGATGGACGCCATTGCCCAGAACCTCTCGCGGGGTCACACGGAGATGGAAGCCGATGCTAGCTAGCTCGTGTGTCATGTCTCCCTTCTAGGGTCCGAGCACTCCAAGTGAGGGCCTAATGGGCATTTACACCGGCAGGGGCCTTTGCCGTCGTTCTTGTCCCAGGAACTTGGGGGCAAGGTGATTTGGCCCCTGAATGACTCTTGGGTCGACTCATGGCAGCCCACAGAGACCACGCTCCCCAGCCCTAGTAGCGCTGCGGCCTGGATGCAGGTTCAGGGCTGGGGCCCAGACTTGCTGTGGTTGTGGTTTTCCCCCAGCGGCTTGTAACAGTAAGCTGCTGTGAGTGGGAGCCGAAGAGGAGGCTGCCAGGGCAGCCCACGGGTCGGGTCCTGAGCCCGGCGTTACCTTCCTGTGGCTGCTCTGACTCCTTGTCTCTTCCACACAGCTCTGTGAGCCCAGGGCAGGCTGGGAGCAAGGGAAGCCTTGGGCCTGCAGGCAGAGCTAGACGCCAGGGGGAGCTGTGGGGAGAGGCTGGCCAGCAAGTGTGTGGAGTGCTTAACACAGTCCAGGGTGAGCTGACAAAAGTTCCTGTCTCAGAATTGGGGACGGTTTCCCAGCTCTCACTGACTTGTGGGCAGGAAGAAGAGACACAGTGGGGATATGAGTAGACTTGGAGAGGGTGTCCTGTAGGGCACAGGGGTAGCATTAACAGGAGGGCATGTCCTCGGTCTGTCAGGCTGACGTTGGCCCTTATCCTAGTGGGCTAATGAGACGCCAGCACAACAGCTCAGAGGCCAGGGACAAGTCCTCGTCTGGAATGTGAGGCTGCAGAGACTCAGAGCTCAGGAGGTCTGCATGGCCACACAGCCAGCACAGCACTGGTGTCAAGAGCCTGTGTCTAGCCAGCCTCCCTATTTTGCTACTGGGATGGCTCTAATCTCTTGTCCCCGAGGAGCCTAGGCCCTTCCCCTGCTTTTCTCTGGCTGTTTGACTTTACCCTCTGAGGTGCTAAACTAGCTGCTCACGACCCTGCCTTGTTCCCGAGTTATCTCATTGAGACAGAGGCCGAGCTGTGCCCGCTGTGATCTGACCTTTGGTATGGGGCCTGTGGCAAGTGTGTGCTCGGAGGGGCCCTGCTTATTACTTCAGAGCCTGAAAGCACTCACTGGGGCACTTGATGCCTTGGACTCCGAGGTCAGTAGGAGGTCCAAGATGTCTTTTTTCCTTGGGGATTTGGGACATCCGTCCAAGATTTCTACATGGGACCAACGCCAGGCCTCTGTAGCTTGCTTTTCACCATTTACTGACCTCTCCTCATGTTTCCACATGGCCTCCCAGGCACACTCACTTCCATGACTGTGTAAGTCCTTGTGCTCATTAGTTTTTTTGTGAGCTTAACACAATCTGCAATCGTGTGAGAGAGGGAACCCCTATTGAGAAAATGTCTTCATTAGATGGACCTATAGGCAAGTCTGTAGGGCATTTTCTTGATGGGCGTGGGAGGGCTCAGCTCACTGTGGGCAGGGCTGCTCCTGAGCAGGGGGTCCTGGGAGGTATAAGAAAGGTAGCTGACAGCCTGGAGAGCAAGCCAAGAAACAGCTTGGTCTCTGGGCAGTTCCTGCGTCCAGGTTCCCGCACTTTATGATGGACTGTAAGCTGTAAGCTGAAACAAGCTTCTTCCTCCTGGAGCTGCTCTGGTCATGGCGTTTATCCCAGCAGCAGAAAGCACACCAGGAGTCTTATTCTGCAGATCTACGCCTTTCAAGCCCTCCACCATGCAGGCTCCTGCAGACCCCAGGCCAGGAGCCCGCAGCAGCTTCTCCGTTTCTGCCCTCTAAACTCTCACGGGCACTGGTCTAGCACTCAGCATTTGCCCCCCTGCTGGTTTCAGGCCTGAGACTGGGGGCTGTGGGCACAGGCTGAGATTGTACACCTGCTCTCACTTTTACTGAGCAGGAGCCAGACCTGGGCAGGATTTGGTGGGATCAGCCTCTCTAGTCCGTCTGTTCTGCTCTGGCGTGGCCCGGAGCTCTGGCTGGGCACTCTGGGCTGGGCTGCAGGCTGAGGTCACTGTTTCCTGTTGAGCTCATCTGGACCGGGAGCTCTGGGAAGACCGGGCTGCTCTTCTGGTTGCCCTGCTAAGGAGCTGGATGGAGCTGCTTCATGCTGGGCAACTGGGTTTTTGTTTTTGGTGTGTGTGTGTATGTGTGTGTGTGTGTGTGTGTGTGTGTGTGTGTTTCTGTGTGTGTCTCTGTGTGTGTGTGTGTGTGTATTTTTCAGGGTGCCCCGAGCCCAGCTTTGTATATTACACTCAACATTAAAATACAGTTTTATATTTGGAGAAAAATGTGAAACTGCACCCCCTTTTCATATCCCTCCACTGTGTTTCTTTCACACCTCCTTATCTGCCTGGAAAGGATCTTGGTCCCTGCCTCCATTCTCAGTTTGAAAGGACAGGAAATCTAAATAGGTAGGAGACATGTGACCCTGAGGGGCTTGTGTTCAGGAGGGTGGGGTGTGTTGAACAAAGTCAGGGCAGAGTTAGCAGAGCTCTAGCCTTCCATCTGGCTCAGCCTGAGTCTCAGTTTGCCCATCTAAAGAGTGGGTTCTTTGGCTGATAAAACAGGACTCAGTTCGCCATGCTTCTCTGCATAGGTGGTTATGAGCGACCGAGAATCCAGAGGGGCTTCACAAGCCAGTAGAGAAGAGGGCAGTTGCACATACTAGGTCTCTGGCATGCTTAGGCGGTCAGTAATTGGCCATGAGAGGGGCACTGAGTGACTTCCCCAAATTATTGCCTCAGGATCACAATTCATATGCCTCCAGGGTCCAGTTCAGGAATGGGGACAGTACCCTGACCTGGTAGACAAAAGAGCAGCCAGCACAGTGGCTGTCGCTCAGCAAGTCTGGTTTCCATCTTTTAGTTTTACCAGCGGTGTCTCAAGTCCAGACTTATGTCAGGCTGCCCAGCTTTCCCCATTGGCACCAGAGACTAGTGCGTTTGGTGTACCACGTGGGGCAGTTCCCGTGGTGTGAGCTCCGTGACGAGTGGGGCCGGCAGCGGTCTCCACTGCCTCTGCGCCCCTGCCTCGCTTCATCCCTTCATGTGCACAATCCTCCGCAGGCTTCACCATGGCGCCGTTCCTGCGCATCTCCTTCAATTCCTATGAGCTGGGCTCCCTGCAGACAGAGGACGAAAGCCAGCCTTTCTGTGCTGTGAAGATGAAGGAGGCACTCAGCACAGGTAGGTTGGAAGCTAGTCCCTAGAGGGGCAAGGGACCTTCTCCCCCAGGTTCTTCTTGTCTCCCTGAGCTACCCTGCTGAGGGTGCAGGAAGACAGAAGCCACCAGGTTCTCTCCAGGGTTTGACACTGATTGAATCGAGCCTCCTACATCTTGGGTTTCACCCCATGATTTCCATGTCTTCTTGGGCCAGGCCCTGAGCTGGACACTGAGGCTATTGTGTTCCAGAACTGGCTTGGCCTTGCCTTGTCCCCCAGCAGGGGGAGCTGGACAGGTCACAGGAGATGAGTTTGTGTTGAGGGAGCCTAGGGTCAGGGTGGCTTTCTGGAGGACACACCCTTCACTCTAGTCTCACCTTGTGCTCCCTGCCGGCTACCGCCTACACCTTTTAGGTTCTAGCTGAGCTGCCCCTTCCTCCAGGAAGTCTCTGGATGTCAGGGTCAGGCCACTTGATGGCAGAAAGGTTTAGAACCACGGTCTTTGTCCTCAATCCCATACGGCCGTGACTTAGTGGTTACCTGAGGAATACAGTGGTTCGTGTCTCTGTCTGGCACTTGAGACAGGGCCAGGCCATGTTCCTTGCCAACCAGTCCAAGGCTGGCATGTGGCCGCTCTCACATGTGTTCACTGGGTGAATGCAAACAGAAAGGGGAGCTGAAATGGAGCTGGAGCCAAAGGGTTACAGGAAAGGGAACGGCAGGAGCCAAGACGAGAGGTGGGGCCCACCAGAGCACCCTAAGACACGGGAGGCTGCCGGGTGCTCCGCGGGATGCTGGAGAGCCGTAGCAGGGCCTCGGGACTGGACGGAGGGTAGGTCGTGTGGCAGTGAGGGGTAAGGAGGGAGGAAGGACTTAGGAGTCCTAGCCTGACTTCCTATTGCAGAGCGAGGGAAGACTCTGGTCCAGAAGAAGCCCACCATGTATCCCGAGTGGAAGTCAACATTCGATGCCCACATCTACGAAGGCCGCGTCATTCAGATTGTGCTGATGCGGGCCGCTGAGGACCCACTGTCTGAGGTGACCGTGGGTGTGTCAGTGCTGGCCGAGCGCTGCAAGAAGAACAACGGCAAGGCTGAGTTCTGGGTGAGAGGCTCGAGGGCCGTGGTCTTGCATGTGCGTCGTGTGCTTGCGGGATGGGACTTGGTGAGTGGGCACGACATCAGGACCAACTACCAGTATGACTTTGTAGCCACTGTGGTTTGAATCCTGGCCCTGATTTACCTCAAGGTCTTGTCAGAATGAGCATGAGTATCCAGTGCTTTATTCCAAGCCAGTTGGTTGGAATAAAGGTTTATGATCCTGTGTACTTGGGAGGCTGAGGCAGGATGGTCACAAATTCAAGACAACAAACATAATGAGATCCTGTTTCAAAAAATGTGAAAAATTAGAGTTGGGGATGTAGCTCAGTGGTAGAGTGCTTGTCTAACATGCACAAAACCATAGATTCCGTCTCCAGCACCGCAAAGTCTGGAGACGCTGCAGAATATGACACCTTGTAGGTGGTGAAGGGAATTATCTTGCTTATTGCAACTACTTTTCTCCCCTCTATCCCTGACCTCCCCACCCCCGTTAATTTTAGAAAGGCAGGATATGCACTGTAAAGTGGTTCGCTCCCGCTCCAACACCAGGCTCTGTTTGGAGAGGCACCTAGTTGGGGGTGTTTTAAAGATATTACAGATCTAGCCAGGCATGGGACCCACACCATGATATTTAGCAGCCAAGAGATAAGAGAAGGAAGCTGGCAGCCTGCCCACTCACCTGCTGAAATGAGGGCTGTGCACATGCCTGTGCCCACGTGCATCTCGGGTGGTGTACTTGGTGGCAGTAGAATGTCAGGCCCATACAGCCCTGCAGGCTCCTGCAGCCTAACTGAAAAGGCTCAGTGACCATTGGAAGCACTGGTCAGCCTTCAGTGAGGAATGAAGGCGCCCAGATGGAAGAGAGGGTGTGACCCAGGGCTGCTCAGACTCTCAGCCAGTTAGGCAGGGACCCAGGAGCGCCCTGGCCATATGCTCTTCCTGAGGAAATGCCACTGGGTCTGGGTCCTGGAATAGAGGCTTGGGCTCTTCCCTCTAGATGGTCTGAGCTAGTGAAGAACCTGTCCCAGAGTACACAGTGTGTGTGTTTCAGGGATGGCGGTGTGGTGTCTGAATGTGCATGGGGGGTGGGGTGGGGAGTTTCCCTCCACACTGCTGCTGGGCCACAGGGCCTAGCAGGGTGTGGACTGAATCCTTTCACTTCCCCAAATGTAATAATACCCTGGGTGCAGAGTGGGGCGGGGCTTGGGCGGGGCCCTGCCCACCCTGGCCAGGCAGGTGTCTGGCCAGGCTATAGGGCTCCCCCCTTGGCCTTGGGGGAGAGCCATGGGGCGGGCTCTGAGTCTCCCCAGGGCCAGGCCCGCCCTCACTGATCTAACACCTCCCTCCCACCCCTGCAGCTGGACCTGCAGCCTCAGGCCAAGGTGCTGATGTCTGTGCAGTATTTCCTGGAGGATGGGGGTAAGCCTCCCTACCTGGGCAGGGGCAAGCTTGTTTGCCAGATCAGGGGCAGAGCTTGCACTGGTGCCTAAGGAAGCAACTCCCATGGGGTTATGTTGGGACCGTCTTGGGTGATTTGCAGGGGGAGCGTCCTTCATGGACCCTGGGGCTGACTTCACCCTCTGGCTCACAGATTGCAAACAGTCTATGCGCAGTGAGGAGGAGGCCAAGTTCCCAACCATGAACCGCCGTGGGGCCATTAAACAGGCCAAAATCCACTACATCAAGAACCATGAGTTCATCGCCACCTTCTTTGGGCAGCCCACCTTCTGCTCTGTGTGCAAGGAGTTTGTCTGGTGAGGGCTGGTGACGGACACCTGCTGGGGGTGGCATGGGACGGGAGGGAGGGACCGAACGGAAACATCCTCACTCACTCTGCTGGGGCATTGCCTTCCAGGGGCCTCAACAAGCAAGGTTACAAGTGCCGGCGTAAGTCTCTCCTCTCTTCAGCGCGTGCGTGAGTGTGTTTACACATGCCGTTGTCTGCACCCCTGGGTCTGGATGTCACGTCTGCACGAGAGCCCTGGGTACCCCCGTGTGTGTGCTCAAGTCAGTCAGTGCCAGGCTGGCTTGTTGCAGCTTGCCAAAGCCAGTTCTGTGCGTTCCTTCCCAACTCTGTGCAGGTTCTCAGGTTGTTGCCAAAAATAGGCTGTTGTAGAGATTTACAGGGAAACCAGCCACACACACACACACACACACACACACACACACACACACACACACACACACACACGGTCTCTGCCCTCAGGGGTGGGTGTGAGATCTTCACTAGCACTCCCCTGACTAGTGTGCTTGTGGGTGCAAGTATCTCAGATGAACAGGTGTGAGCGTACCTTTCACCCTGACACGCAGTGCCGAGCAGGCCCTGCAGACTGCAGGTGTGAGCAAGCAGAAGCTGTCCTATCATTTGCTCACTATCAGGCCTTGGTCAAGTTCCTTAGCACTGGCCCAGTGCCTCTGTTTCCTTGTCCATAAACTGGGATATTAGATTCAAGTGTGAAGGCCACTGGGGTAAAATATGTACGCTATGTTTTAAGGGCTTAGCAGGTAGTGAGCATTCAGTCTAAGACGCCTGTTGTCACGATTGTGCAAGCTTTGTGTGTAGGGTACGGGTGTCTTTGTACTGGGGTGTGTCATGTGGACATGTGAAAGAGAGCTAGCTTAGCAGCCGTTAGCTGACTTGGAATACAGAAATGGGAAAGAGAGGCTCTCCGGCCCCCACACATCCTCCCTTCTGCCCACCCCGGGAGTCCTTGAACCTTCTCTGTTTTCCACGGCCCTTTAGATTGGCCCATCTCTTGCCCGTCCTTTCCAGGCCCCTTCTGGAAGGGTTGGCAGGAGGAGGAAGAAATAAAGCTGGGCTGAGGCCTGTGTAGGGTGAGGGTGTGGGCGGCCAGCGAGAAGGCTGGCTTTGTGCAGAGGGCTGTCCTTGGCCAGCAGTGCCAGCTCAGACTCTGCCTCTCTTGGTGCCTCCCCCTCCCTGTCCTGGGCCTGCGCCCCTTCCTTCAAGAATGCAACGCCGCCATCCACAAGAAATGCATTGACAAGATCATCGGCCGCTGCACGGGCACTGCGGCCAACAGCCGGGACACCATCGTGAGCTGGGCCCCCGGGGTCTGGGGACTGGGCAGGCGGGGGGCTGTGGGGGCCCCAGACTCTCCTTTCCTTCTTCGGCCTTTGCGATCCCCAGACCTCGGGGGAACCCTGTTAAGGATCTGACACTGCACAGGGTTGGGGGAGAACTGGCCTGTGACCCCTGACCTGTAATACCCGTTCCCTCTAGTTCCAGAAAGAACGCTTCAACATTGACATGCCCCACCGGTTCAAGGTTTACAACTACATGAGCCCCACTTTCTGTGACCACTGCGGCAGCTTGCTCTGGGGACTGGTGAAGCAGGGGCTGAAGTGTGAAGGTGTGTGCTACCCAGATCCCAGCTGCCCCCGACCTCCTGAGCCCCGGCGCCCACCATGATGCCGCACCTCTTTCCTTGAGACTTCAAAGGACTCTCATCTGTCTACCCTTCACTTCGGGGGGACCCCCTCACTTATGGGGGACCCCTCCTCACTGGCCTTCCTGACTGAGACCCTCTGAGCTGCATCCTCAAGTGTGCCGCTGGGGATCACTGAGGAGCAAGTGACTGGAAATACTTAACCAAGGCTTGCACACATTAGCTGGCCCTGCTCCCAAGCCTCCCTTATCCCAGGCTTCCCTTCAGGGGCATCTCAAGGCCTGAGGAAAGCTGCCTATCTTGCTTGTCCCAGATGTTAATATAACTAGCTACCATTCTCTCTCTCCCTCCCCCTCCCATCCCCCTCTCCCTCCTTCCCTGTCCCCCTCCCCCCTTCTCCTTCTCTTGCTCTCTTTCCTCTCCCTCCCACCCTTTCCCCTTTTTTCTCCCTCCCCGCCTCCCTCCCCTTCTATCTTCCCATCTCCCTCTCCTCTCATTCTCTCTCTTTCTTTGACCTTGGCCTCACACTGTAGCCCAGGCTGACCTGGAACTGTGTAGCTCAGGCTGGCCTCAAATACAGAGCAGTCTTGCTGCCTCGGCTTCCCAGTTGCTGGCATTATGGGTGTGAGTTACTGCCTCCAGACACTTTCTTTTTCTGTACTTCAACCATGACAGACTCCAAATGCTCGTGGTGGCTTCAGATGCCCTCACCCCTGGAAGCTCAACAGTTCAAAAGTTCTCTTCTCCCCTTCCCTCTCTCTCTCCCTCCCCCTCCCTCCCTCCCTCCTTCCCCCCTCCTCACCCCTCTCTGCCCCCCCCCACCCCTCTCTCTCTGCCCATTTCTGAGACCTGACCCTGGCAGTCCACTGTGCTTCTTGCAGACTGTGGCATGAACGTGCACCACAAATGCCGGGAGAAGGTGGCCAACCTGTGCGGCATCAACCAGAAGCTCTTGGCTGAGGCCTTGAACCAGGTGACCCAGGTAGGCAAGGGCAGTGGGATCTGGACATAGGACGGTGCAAGCAGAGGGTGTCAGGGCTCACAGAGTGCCTGGGGAGCCCTGAGGTGGGTGAGGCTTCTGTCAGGTCATTGAGGTAGCCTTGTAATCTTGGGCAATTCATCATTCAGGCAGTTCTGAGGGGAGATGGCGACTGCAGAGCTGAGCATTGGGACATTTTGAATAAGGACAGAATCTGTTAAATGTGTCATGTGTGGTATATATGATATATGTAGTGTGGGTATTATGTGTGTGAGAGATGTGTGTGTGTGTGTATGTGAATGTGGTATTTATTTGGTATGTAGCATGTGTGTCCAGAGTATGTTATCTATGGGTAGGTGGTATATAGAGTATGTGGTATGCACATATGTATGCTGTGTGTGCATAGTCTAGGTTTGTTTACATGGTGTATGTGTGTGTGTTGTATGTATGCAGTATGTGATATATAGAGGTGGGTGGTACATGGCATGTGGAGTATATGTTGTATATACATGTCTGTGCATAATACATGTACATGCATAATAATATGATATGTGTAGGTGTATATGGTATGTGAATATGCAGTGTGTATGTGTTGGGTGTATAAGAAAGGGGTTCTCATGGTGTGTGTGTATTTACATATGACTGGAACTTAAGGGATAATAAAACTTTAGAGTAAACTTCTAAAGCCAGAAATGAAGCTAGTGGTTGGCAAGATGTTTCAGTGGGTAAAGGCACTTTCCACACAACCAGGCATCCTGAGTTCCTTTCACAGAACCTACAGAACAGGAGAGAAGCATCCCACAAGTTGTCCTGTGGTATATGCACGTGTGCACATGTGTGCATGCACATACACACAAATAAATGTAAAAAACTGTTAGAAAAAAGAAATGAGATTAAACAATTTATTAAATTCTTAGGAAGGTATGGTTCAGTTTACTAAATGTCTGTGCCTATAATCTGTGCCTTTCAGATCGCAGGGCCAGGGGAAGGAAGGCATGTGGCCTGGGAGGCCTAGGCTCTGCCCCTCTGACACCATTGGAATTGAGGGGGATATTGTGGTGGGGGTCCTTTTCCTGGCCTAGGAGTTCTAACCATTTGGCTTCCTTCTTTTGCTCTTTCTCTAGAGATCTTTACGGAAGCTGGATTCAGGATCACCAGAAAATGTTGGAATATACCAGGGATTCGAGAAGAAGGCCGGAGTCTCTAAGGATGACGCCCCAGGTGAAGTCGGGCCAGATGCCTTCTTTAAGGCTCCCATTCCCCAACAGAGCAAAGAACAGGGCTGGTCTGCCTTGAGAAGTGAGTCCTGGGTCGAGGCCCGGAGCCCCTTTCTCTCCGGCCCCCACCAGCCCACCCTTGGGACTCCAGTAGGTCTTTCTGTCTAGTCAGTTCAGGGAAGAGGTAGCACCTCGGGGAGGGAGCCCCTTCTCTCCTCCCCTGTGCCCTGGGAAGAAGGAGTCATGTCTCCGCCTCTCCCACAGACAACAATGGGACCTATGGCAAGATCTGGGAGGGGAGCAGCCGGTGCAACATCGATAACTTCACCTTCCACAAAGTGCTGGGCAAAGGCAGCTTTGGCAAGGTGAGAGAGGGCAGCCTGAGGAGCAGGGCTCAGGGGGCTCCCGGGGCACACCAGAGGCTGGGTGCTGGCGACCTGCAGGGCCTTTGCTCAGCATCCTGCCCATTGGTAGGTCCTGCTTGCCGAGCTCAAGGGCAAAGACCAGTACTTTGCAGTCAAGTGCCTGAAGAAGGACGTGGTGTTGATCGATGACGATGTGGAATGCACCATGGTGGAGAAGCGGGTGCTGGCGCTCGCCTGGGAGAATCCCTTTCTCACCCACCTCATCTGTACCTTCCAGACCAAGGTTCTGGCCTTCCCCGTCATTGCCCATGCCCCGACCTGATTACCCCCCACAGTGGGGCTGTGTCTATTGCGGTCACTTCCTAAGTTGTCACCATCACCCCAGGTCCTGTGTCCTCTACTTCCTTTTGGGGCTCTGTGATCTTTTGCAGGGGTACCTCCTACTTGTCCCTTTACCTCTGCTCACCTCCTGCCCCACTCCAGGACCACCTGTTCTTCGTGATGGAGTTCCTCAATGGGGGTGACCTGATGTACCACATTCAGGACAAAGGCCGCTTCGAACTCTACCGGGCTATGTATGTGAGGGCCCTTTGTAGGAGAGGGACTCTGGCTGAGTGCACTGCCACTCTGCCCTTTATCCTTCCTCCCCCCCCCCCCCCCCCCCCCCCTGGAAAAGCTTGAGTCAGGACAGAGCTTGCGCTGGGGACACTCGGGACACTGTGGGAAGCAAGCTCTGGCTCTGGGGCCAGCACAGGTACTCTCGGTCCTTGTCGTCTCTTTGGGCGTCAGCCAGAACAGCAGAATGGATAGTGCCCTGCACTACATGGCCCCTGGTGTGCGGCCCCTGGACGACAGTAGTAATGTCTTCAAGTGTTTGGATACCCCTAAGTTAGCGGCATGTGTTGCACACTTGTGTCAACAGAAATGCCCTCCTACAACACAGCCTTGGCTTATTTAGCTTTCCCTCCAAATTTGCCGCCTGGGCTTCCAGCCTCCACTTACCTGATTAAAAAATGTGCTTGGTTGGGTCCATAGTGTTGGTAGAGTTGTTTATAGCATTTCCTGTCCTGGGGTGGGGTGATAGGACTGGTGGGCAAAATCCTGGAACATTGTCTCTTGCTCAGGTTTTATGCGGCTGAGATCATCTGTGGGCTACAGTTTCTACACAGCAAAGGCATCATTTACAGGTATTGGCGGTCCTTCTGAGAAGGGTGGTGCCTAGTCTGATCACACTTCCAGCTTAGAGTGAGTGAGTGGCTGAGTATTTGCCTAACAACCTAACTCGGTGTGAGAATTTTTCTGCTCCTGCAGCTGAGGCTGGTGCAGCCCCAGGAGCTGGGAGCTCAGTGCTGTTGGAAGGGAGGCAGCCCTGGCAGGCACAGTGTCTCCCTACGTTATGCTCATTATTCTCACTCCAGAGCCCCCAACCAAGCACTCCAAGACTTCACCAATATGAACTGGCTTCTTAAGTCTTCATCCAATACATTATGCTCTACCCTATGGTGGAATGCCATACACTCACCAGAAGGGCTGAGACTTCTCTGTATCTTGATGTGGGATGACATGAAACTGTTTATCAAGTTGGAACTAACCTGTGGAGCCAAGTTGTGATTTTACACCTCTGTAATCCCAGCACACGGGAGGCAGAGACAGGCAGATCTCTGTGAGTTTGAGGCCATCCTGGGCTACATAGGACATCCAGAGCTACACAGTCAGACCTTGTCTCAAACAAAAAAGAATTAAAAATCAGCATGGGCTGCATATTGAGACCCTATCTCATAAAAGAAAAGAAAATCAACCAAACCAAGCCATGTGACAGTGTGTATCAAATACATGTTGCAGGGTTCTGGGGTGGAGCGGGGAGCTGGAGAGACAGCAGTTTAGAGCACCTGCTGCTCTTGCAGGGTTGTTTTTTTTTTTTTTTTTTTTTTTGTGAGACAGGGTTTCACAGCGTAGTTTTGGTGCCTGTCCTGGAACTCACTCTGTAGACCAGGCTGGCCTCAAACTCACAGAGATCCTCCTGGATCTGCCTCCCCAGTGCTGGGATTAAAGGCATGTGCCACCACCGCCCGGCTAGGGTTGGGTCCAGTGGCTCAAAACTGCTTATAGTTCTAGTTCCAGGGATCTAACGCCCTCTTCTGGCCTCTGTAGGCACCTACACTTGTGCACTTACCCACCCACAGGCGCACATATATAACGTGTAAATACAAAATAATAATAAGTAAAACTTGGGAGTGAGAGACATATTCCAATTTGCGGTCCATGCCTAGCATCACTGGAGGCTGTCTGGTGGTTGAAGCAGAGAGAAACCTTGTACTGTTTGTCCATTCAGATGACTCATGAGGGAAACCAACGTGGTCCCTGCCCTTGTTGAGTTAGATAACCCTGAGCTGGGTAGAAGCAGATTGGGATATATCTGCCAGCCGGTGAGGTGACAAGGGGCAAGTGATGTCACTCGGGGCTTCAGGGAGTAGGGTATTGTGTGTCCCACATTTAGCGGCCAGAAGGCACTTGGGTTTAGCATCCCAGCTTCCCTTTCTCCTCTGTGCTCTCTCGTGCTCCAAGGGAAAGTTGTGGGCTTGCAGGGCTGGACCCAGCATGTGGCAGCAAGGCTAGGGAGGGTTAGAACGGGCACCCAGGGCTATTCTGTCCTCTCCTCTCCTCAGGGACCTCAAGCTGGACAACGTGATGCTGGACCGGGATGGCCACATCAAGATAGCCGACTTTGGGATGTGCAAAGAGAATATATTTGGAGAGAACCGGGCCAGCACCTTCTGCGGCACCCCTGACTACATCGCCCCTGAGGTGAATAGCTGTCTCTCACTCAGTGTGCATTTGGCCTCGTTAGGGTAGAGCCAGGGAGGCTTCCTGAAGAAGCCTGGTACCCTACTCTAACCACTGTTGCCCCCAGATCCTGAAGGGCCTGAAGTACACGTTCTCTGTGGACTGGTGGTCCTTTGGGGTCCTCCTCTATGAGATGCTCATTGGCCAGTCACCCTTCCATGGTGATGATGAGGATGAACTCTTTGAGTCCATCCAAGTGGACACACCACACTATCCCCGCTGGATCACCAAAGAGTCCAAGGACATTATGGAAAAGGTGAGCCTGGCTAGGGTTTCGGGTTTCAGGGGGACCTGCCTCTAAAATAGGGCCTCCCTGGGGCTCCATGCCTGACATATCCCAAGCCTTGGTCTGTCCCTGTTTCTGTTTTTTTTTTTTTTTTTTTTTCCCGAGACAGAGTTTCTTTGTGTAGCTTTGCGCCTTTCCTGGAACTCACTTGGTAGCCCAGGCTGGCCTCGAACTCAGAGATCCCGCCTGGCTCTGCCTGCCGAGTGCTGGGATTAAAGGCGTGTGCCACCACCACCGCCCGGTCTGTCCCTGTTTCTAGGCATTCCTTTCTGAGTCCCCTGTCTGGAATCACAGGATGTGGTGGCTAAGAGGTCAGGAGACAGACAGACCTGAGGCCAAGTCCTGGCTCTGTCTGTCTGTGACTAGCTGGTAACCTTGGGTGGGTCACTTAACCTCCCTCTCCTTATCTTCAAACTGCCTCAGAGTTGATAGAAACATAGAAACCCGTAACACTCAGCACCTCGGCTCACAGTGAGTGTCAGTGAGACATAGAGCTTACCCTCAGCCCCAGAGTTCCTGAGCTAAGTCTGTCCAGCCTCGGGGCCCTAGGGCTGTTTGCAGTTTGCAAAAACTCCAGTTTCCCATGGCCTTGAGTCCTGACCGAGGCCCCTGTGGATTGCAGCTGTTCGAGAGGGAGCCGGTCAAGAGGCTGGGAATGACAGGAAACATCAGGATTCACCCCTTTTTCAAGACCATCAACTGGGCGCTGCTGGAGAAGCGGAAGGTGGAGCCGCCCTTCAAGCCCAAAGTGGTATGTCCCCCACCCCTGTTCTAAGACTGGTCCCTCCCTTGCTCTGCCCACTTCCTGCATCAATCCCACACTCGCCCCCTTTCCCTTTTCCAACAAGCCTGCTTCCTGTTCTCCCCGGCATGCTGTACCAAGCCTCTGCTCTTACGTTCTCATAATCTCCTCAGGCCAGCTCCAGCAGTCTCACAGACAGTTGGCACTGGGGGTTCACCTCATGGTCGAGCATTTAACCTAGTATGTACAAAGCATAGGTTTGATCTTAGTACCACCAAGTAAGAAGCGGAAGCTAAAACAGGCCTGATAGAGCATACCTGTAACCCCAATACTTGGGAGGCAGAAGCAGGAGAGTAACCATAAGTTTGAGGCCAGCCTAGTCTTCATAGTTATTTTTCAGCTGGCTAGGGCTGCGTCGTGGAGCCCTGTTTCAGAACAAGGACAGAGAAGACCAGGTGTAGTGGTGGTGAGGCCTTGAGGCACCTGGTGCTGGGGTAAGAGAGCCTTGTAAGTCCAGGTCAGCCGGGGCTGCGGAGTGAGACCCTATCCAAGAGAGAAGGACAGAGAGGCAGGACCTCACTGTGTTGTTCAGCCTGACTCAGAACTCGGGACTGCCGCTGTCCTCTTCCAGGTGCACACCTCCATGCCTGCTGCCAGCCATCTTGTAACAAAATTCTTCAGTACTCTGTGTTCTGGAAACTATTTTTTGACCACCAGAGTTAGGGCTTCACCTCCATCCTCCATCTGTCTAATCATCAATCACATCCATTTTCCAATCGATATTGGGCATGCCAAGTCCTTGTTGAGTGCACTGTGCTGGGCTTTGGTGAAGTAAGAAAAAGCCCCAGAGCTAGAGGAGCCCAGACAGGACGTTTGCACACTGGTGACAATCTGTGACAAGACAACAGTGTGGGAGATGTCACAGGGCACACATCTGTGGGTTGCTTTTGAGAGGGTGTATCAGTAGGAGCCTGGGATGCAGGGAACAGAGTGGTCTGAAAGGCTGCCTAGAAGAACTGCTGGGTGTGAGTAGGGCTTGGGATGTCAGACCAGGCAGAGGGCAGCTAGAGGGTATTCCTGGTAAGTGAGCAATGCTTGCATCAAGGCCCCAGATCCTCAGAGGCCACTGGGACTGGTTGAGATAAGAAGCGGATTGCATCACTGGGAACTTGCTGGGTGTGATGATGTACACGTGTAATCCTAACACTCAGATGGACACAGGAGGTCCTCAACTTCAAGCGCAGGATACACAGCATGATCCTGTCTTTTAAGAGAGCAGTTAGGACGCTGTGTCTCTTTTGTGATCACAGCTTCTTCTCTGCCTTCCTCTCGATTGCTCTCTGTCCTCTGCTGGGACATACTGTTCCCACTGGGCAGTCTCTGTGACATGCCCCACATTTGTGCTTTGAGACAGCAGGACACTTTTCCTTGTGGAGCTCATAGTCACAGGCTCCCTGAGCATGGTGACAAGCTGACCCAGCTGTAAGAGCAGCACATGGCTCTTGCTACTGGGAGAAGTTTCTTCCTGCACACACCAATCAGGTGTGACGCTCCACCGGGGGCAGGACAGCGCGGGCACAGTGAACAGGGCAGTGGGCTCTCAGCCCCAAGGATGGGCCTACCAGGAAGTAAGCTCAAGGGCTCCGGTGTAGCCAGCTCAGTGGCAGAGTGCTCACCTAGCATGTCAGTGCCCTCCCCAAATAAAGGTAAAAACAAAAACAAAACAAAAACAAACAAAAAAACCACCAAAACCAGGCATGGTAGCACATAACTGTAATCCCAGCCCTTGGGAGGTGGAGGCAGGAAAATCATAGGTTCAAGGCCAGCCTCAGTTGCATGAGACTTTGTCTTGAAAGAACAAAAACAAAATAATAAAAAAAAAAAAAACAGGTTCCAGTCGTTCACCCATCAAACCTCTGGCCACAGAGCAAGGCCTAATGTCTCTGAGCCTGGTTTTTTTACAAATAGAACAGTAACATTTCTCTCTGGGACCGTGGGGTGGGGTCAGATGAAGGAAGGAAGGAAACCCAGGGCTCCTAATCCACCTGTTTTCAAAAGAAGCCAGAAATCTGGATTTCCATGTTAAAAATGTTGCTTCTGATTCTATCCAAACCGGCACTGGGGGCTGGGCATGTAGCCAGTTGTGAAGCACTTGCTTCACACACACACACACACACACACGGCCCTGGATATGAGTCCCAACAATCTGCCAAACAAACCAGTGCTAGCTGAACGATCGGGCCCTCTAGCTCAGTTTGGCCCCAGGGTCACCAGAGACCTGTTACTATCTTATCCAGGCCTTAGGGGCAGTGAATTAGGTACTTTTCTTATAGACAGACTGAGAATAAGTATTTCTAACTTTGCAGGCCAGGCAGTCTCAATGCAGCCATAATCCATGTGTCAACAATGAGTGTGGTTGTATAGTCATAAACTTGATTTGTGGGCACAGAAATTTGCATTCGACCTCATTTTCATATAACGTTGGGTATCCTTTTAATTGTTTTTTTTTTTTTTTCTTCTCCCAACCATTAAAAATCACAAGGGTTAGAGCTGGAAGTGGTGGCCAATGATGCCAGCGCTTGGGAGGCTGAGGCAGGAGGATCATGAATTTGTAGACAGCCTGGGCTACATGAGACTTTGTTTCAAAAATACTAAAACCAAAACCAAAACTAGCTAAACAAAAATAGCAAAAGCTATTCTTAGCTTATAGGCCCCATTAAAAACAGAGCGGGAGACATGTGGCTGATAGACTGTAGTTCATGCCCCTGTTCCAGACCATGTCCCCTGTCCCTCACTAACCCAGTGCCCCCCCACCTGCCTTCCTCATCCCTTGAGAAATAGCATCCCCTATGGTGGGACTGCCTTTAGGTGACCAGTGACATCCTCTTTCCCGATTGAGTGGACTGCCCTGGCTTGCCCCACCAGGACCCCAGAGGCCTGGGTGCCTGTCATGCCTTTGAGGACAGACCTTGGAGATACCCCAATAGTCACACTCACCCTCTGCTGCCTTCCTCACAGAAATCCCCTGCAGACTACAGCAACTTTGACCAAGAGTTCCTGAGTGAGAAACCCCGCCTTTCCTACAGTGACAAGAACCTCATCGACTCTATGGACCAGGCAGCCTTCCAAGGCTTCTCCTTTGTGAATCCCAAGTTTGAGCAACTCCTAGACAAGTGAGCTCCCAGACCTGCTTTACACGCCAGCAGAGCAGGCCAGTCTGCCCTGGTTCAAGTCCGCATGCATGCCCTGGACAACAGCGGGTGACTGGGTGACTGCTGCTGCTGCCCCCACATCCTCAGAGGGTTCGGCTCTTGTTGGCTGGGCTCAGTACTTCCTCTGTGAACTGTTTGTGAATTTCCTTTCCCTTTGCCGTCCGAGGGAGACTGTAAATCCTGTGTTTCATTACTTGAATGTAGTTATTGAAATATATATTATATATATGCACATATATATAATAGCTGTATATATTGCTCAGTATAGAAAGCATGTAGGGGACTGGTAATGTGTTGACCTTTTTTTAAAAAAACATGTACACATATATATGTATGTGTATGTATATATATATATGTGACCAAAAGGAAAAAAAAAAGCACAAACTGTCTGAACCACAAGGTTCTTTTATGTGTGTCTAAATAAACACTGAATGGTACCAACCTGGCTGTGGGGACATTTATGTCCCAGGAAGCTGGTAGCAGGTGCTCCTGCCACTATTGACTGTAGTCACAGACCCCTGCGTCTTCATGCAAATGTGTTTGTATTTAGGGGTTTCCCTTTGCTCCAGGGCCCTGGGATGTCTCTGTGGGGTGATGGCAGGAGGTGAGACCGGCTGTAATCTGTCGCTGGGCAGAGAAGTCAGCCCAGAAGTCGAGAGAAGCAAAAAGCCAGGCCTAAAAGCTGGAGCAGAGGCTTAGACCCGGGAGTGTGTCTCAGGGATGGAGCACTTGCTTAGCATGCATAAAACTCTGGGTTCCATCTCCCGCTCGATCAGTGTGCACACACACACCCACCGATGGTAAATGTAAAAAGGGCACGTGGGATGTAGTTCAGTTGGTAGAGCACTTGCCTAACATGCATGAAGCCCCGCCCCCAGCAGGACATTTGGGAGGTAGAAGCAGGAAGATCACGACTTCAGGTTTATTCTTAGCCACACACACAGTGAGTTTCAAGGCCAGCCTGGGCTATAAGAAACCCTGTCTTAAAAATAATAATGATTTTAAAAAGATTTAGAGGCTGGCCCCAGATTAAGCAGAAGACAAAGAAAGGAAAAAGCTTTTTTGTTGTTGTTGTTTGTTTCGTTTTGTTTTGTTTTATTTTTCAAGACAGGGTTTCTCTGTGTAGTTTTGGTGCCTGACCTGGATCTCACTCTGTAGACCAGGCTGGCCTCGAACTCAAAGAGATCCACCTGCCTCTGCCTCCCAAGTGCTGGGATTAAAGGTGTGCGCCACCACCGCCCGGCGCTTATCTTCATTCTTGAGAGATGAGTCAGCCTCTAAGTTCTAGAATTATTCCACAAGAGTCCTTGCCTACCCGGAGGAGAGGGGAGGGGCAGGTGGGAGAGAGAATGCCTCGCTCCTGGATGGTGTGGTGAGGCATGCTCCAGTATGTTGACCTCACTGCCTGCAGTCAAGGAGCCTGGCTCCAAGACACAGCGCCTGGCAGCTGCCTGTGAGCCAGCGTGGCCTTGGTATGCAGAGTCGCTGGCGGGGCTCTCTTCACAGCCTCCATGCCCCCATTCTACGGCTTCCAGTTTGTCCCTCCCTCCCTCCATCCCTCCTGCCTCTGGGGCACTGGTCTCAGACAGGGCCCTCCCTTGGGCCCCTCTGGTCCAGCCCCTAGGGCCCAGCTGGCTCTGTCCTGGAGGTGGCCGAGGCAGTCCTAGCGTCTGATTGGCTGGTCCAGTAGCATGCTGTTGACTGCCAGCAGTTCATTCTTCTGGGCTGAGGTACAAATTTCCACAGCCTGGGAAGGCAGGATGGACTGGAACCGACCCAGGGAGAGCTGTGAGGATGGAAGTGGAGCTTGTCCTCTCCATCCTCAAGAAGCACTCCTGTCTCCCACTGAACTGTGCCGGGCTAGCCTGGGCACTGGGGGCTGTGACACTCATCCCGCTTAGGCTCACAGACAGTGTGACGTGGGGTGTGCTGGAGAACCCCGGGGTGACGGAAGTCCAGAGGGGGTCCCTAGGGTCCCCAGTCTCCTGCTTCCGCTATGATGTGCAAAGGTCCCCAGAAGCCCCGTGAGGCCATGGGCAATGGCCATGGCACAGAAGCGGTGGCGTTTACCTTTAGGGCCACCCGCCATCCTGCCGCTCTAAGTCAGAGCCTTGTACACAGCACTTCATGCAAAGAACGGGTTCCTCCTCTGTGGAAGGGAGGGCTGAGTGGTTTATCAGCTTCGGGCAGCGAGGCGTGGCTGGAACACAGTATCTAGAAACTAGGCCTAAGGTTTGAGTTTCGCTGCGCTACCCACGCGCTGGATCATTTTCTTACAGCCTCAGTCTCCTCACCTGTAGACTGGAGCCACTAATCTGTGCTGCCTTGTGGAGCAGCTGGTTCAGGAAGGCTTCATACAGGGCCAGTGGGTGCTGCTGATGCCTGGTGGTGCTGATGCCTGGTGCTGCAGCGTAGGTCTGTGGGACCTGCCTCGGGAAGCCTGATTCCCCGTGGGAAGTGACTCCCGGGGACACTGTCGCTGCCTGAGTGCCTGGAAGGGCACGTGTCTCTAGACCTGTTCCCAGCTTTTGAGTAGGTGCCAGGCCCGGCCGTGGCCTACGGAAATGCCAATCATGCTAGACTCAAAGCCACTTTCCCTGGCATCTAGGGACCAGGAGGAAGGCAGGTTGCCCTTCCCTTTGCCAAGTGGGCAGGCAAACAGCAGGGCGCTCAGTCCTCAGTGGAAAGGACAGAGCGAGTACACCCCCTCCCCACCCCACCCCTACCCCCACCCCCCGGTACAGGACAGATGAACACGGATGCTCCGGGGCCTGGGGACAGGGGCACAGGCTCCACAGTCAAATCGCCCTGGTTTCAGTGCTAGTGACCTCAGCAAGTGACTTCACCTCCCAGAGCCCCACTTTCATTTCCGCCACTGGAAAATGGGGATGACCATGATGTTGCCGTTGGCTGTGATGAGGCAGTGGTGTTGATATGTATTGCACAGACTTAGTAAACAGCAGCCACTGTGCCCCGCCCTTCAGTGAGAAGAAACATTCTCCTCCACACTGACTGGACTGCAGGTAGGCAGCTAATATGTAGCCATCCATCACAAAGCTTCCCCTTCAGACAGGGGTACTTGAGAACCTCCTGCCCAGACTTGCTCGGATGCCACTTCTACACGTGTTAATGGGAGGAAACAGGAAGTGAGCCGAAGTCTGGGCATCCAGGGAGCTGTTTAAGGATGTCCCCGACAGGCGCAGGGACAAGAGCTTGCAAAAAGAGCTCAGTAGAGAACTAGTACTTTGATGGGATTCCACCTGGTTGCTTTCATGTGCCTGCTTCAAAATATATTTTTTCAGCTGGGTGTGGTCGCCCATGCCTTTAACTCTGTGAGGTCAAGGCCAGCCTGGTCTGCAAAGAGAGTTTCAGGGCAGCCAGAGCTGTTACATAGAGAAACCCTGTCTCAAAACAAGAACGAATATATATAATACATTTTAAGTGTGTATGTGTGTGTGTGCGCGTATGTGCGTGTAAGTGTAGGTACCCTCAGAGACCAGATCCTGTGTGGCTGGAATCACAGGGAGATGTGAGTCATCTATTGCAGGTAATGGAAATCAAAGTCCGGTCCTCTTAACCACTGAGCCACCTGTCTAGCCCCAGATATGCCTGCCTTTGAGGGCACTGATGTCTGAGAGGTATAGGGCAGAGCTATGGAAAAGGAAGATACACAAGTGAGTGAATGAGTGTGTGGATGGATGGATGGATGGATGGATGGATGGATGGATGGATGGATGGAAGGAAGGACCAGCTAGACTGCATGTCTGTAGGCCACCTGGAATTCAAGTGTCTGTCAGTCAGTGGCTCTAGAATCCAGGATACTTCAGCTGTGCACACTGATGCACATACTGATAAAAGGTACATGTCTCCCGTGCCAAGTTCTAAGCAGGGGTCTCGGCCCTGGCTGAACCCTGGAACTCAATGCCCAGGGTGGCCGGGTCTAACTACATTCTGATCTTGAAGACGGCCCAGACATCACATTTTGAAAGCTCTCCTCATGTTTATGTGCAATACGATGGAGAGCCAGTTAGGCAAGGTGAGAATCTGCATATTTCCCAGTGAAGCTGGGGGAAGCTGCTCAGAAAAGCCACAGCTTGGAAATCGAAGCTACCTGTCAGCATTGCCAAGCTAGCTCTTGTTTGGAGGAGGCTGGGATCTCTAGGACCGCAGACAGAAAAATCGGTGGCTCTGTGAGGTGGCCACTTGGGCAGGGCTGCTTTGCCGACTGCCTGACTGGGCTACATCGCCCCCTAGTGGAGGCAGGTCATTTAGCAGGTGCTGCAGGGACAACAGACTCATCTGCCCTGTCTTTGTGCCAGGGACCATGCTGAACACCTCCTCACTTTAAACTGTTAGTCTCTAGCTGCTGGAGACCCAGAGACACAGAGGCAATACCTCTTCTTGCATAAACAACTATCTGTTTTGTCCCAAAGAATGATATCCACCCTAAAGTGGTAGCCACATTCCCCAACACATCTGCTGGGCCGTCCACATCTTCAGTAGGCTCTAATAAGAGGAAGTAAGGGTTCATTCAGAATTTTCGAGGGTGGGGAGGGCTCAGAGGGCTCCAGGACTTCTCAGGGCTGCCTCACTTGAGGAGGAGGACTCCCCTCTACAGCTCTCCCAGGCACCCGCTTCCACTTTGGAACCATCAAAGCTGGGTGGGACCTCTGGATCTCTCCCCTGTGACTGTGCCTAGCAGAGGCCCTTGGATGACGGCCTGTGGGAGACCAGAGGCTGGATAGCTGAGTTTGCTCTTCTGAATCCTGACTACCAACCAAGGCGGGAGGACCTCACACAGATCTGAAAACAAAGAAGGAGACAAAGGACCAAGAAAAGCTCCCCAAATGGGGAGCCTGGCCAGAGTCAGCACGGCCCAGATGGCATTTGGCTCCTGAGGTCTGAGGCGTTCTCTGAGTCTCATTATCTGATCGACTCCAACCCTCCAGAGCTATAGCCTCAGTGATTTCAGTCTGAAACTTAACGTCTGTTCCTAAATCAGTCTTTTTAAGTGGGCCTTAGAAGACCCCCAGTTTCCTCCCTCCGCCTGTGTTAAATGCATCCTCAGCCCTGACATTTGCTGCTCAGCCCACACTAAGTGCTGCACAAAGGCCAAGGCCTGTGGGAAAGAACTTTCCTCTTCCAAAGCGCCTGCTGGGGTTGATCTTTCTCCTGATTTCTCTCGGGATAGTGGACGCATGTGCTGTGGGTGGGATGGGGTGTGTGCTATGTGCCGGAGTTCTTACCTCGCTTGGTAAGAGCAGGTGCCTGCTGTATGCCGGGAGCCCCACGGGTATCCCTCTGAGCCCCTACTGGGCAGATATGAACGAGTATGCCTGGCGTGCACTTGGTGTGGCCCACAGCTCCTGACAATGAGGCTGTCAGTCACTGCGCCTCTTCCCTGCATTGTGGCCTGGAGTTCAGCTTCACAGCAGCCCCTG